CTAATTTTGGTTTTCGTTGTTTTCTTTGCTTTGTTTACTTTTCGCTCGTTTTCCAGTGAAACAAGATGGCGTAGAACCCGCTAAAAAAAATCTACTTTTTTCACTCTCTTGTTCTTACGTGATCTTGTGTCTTTCGTTCATGAATCAATACAACACAACATACATACATAGTATTGTGAGGGAACGAAACTGTTGTTCGTATCGATACTTAAGTGCGTTGCGTGTACATGTACTACGTACATACATGCATGCATATATACAAACGAACATTTTCTTAGGCTGCAAGATTCGTTGCTATGATTCGTTTGAGGTGCAAGTGCTTGTATCAAAAGTAACGAGTAAAGTAACGAAACTAAAGATACGGGTGTTGATTGGATTAGTAACGACGAATTAGCTATCAGTTTATTTAAAAATACATAGATCTAATTTTAGATAGTACTACATATTTTGAAATTGTGGAACTTATCGATGGCCAAAATTTAAAAAATTAAGAGAAACATGGGTTTTTTTGATTTATTTTACACGATAAAAAATCCCAACAAGCCAAGTCCGACAATAGATTATTATATACCATTTTAAAGACCCATATATCCTCTTGTCAGATCATTTGCGATCTTTGAAATAGAATCCAAAATAGTCATTCAAAAACACATAAATCTAAAGAATCGTATTTTCTGACCTAAATCGACAGGTCGCGACCTCTAAATGACCTTTAAAAAATCTATAAAAATAGGCAATAATATTTCTCATAAAAACTAATAAAATTAGGGGGTAGGTTCTTGAATCTTCCAAAAAAAGCATTTTCGATGGGCACCCTAATGTACATATATCCGAAGGCACCACGCTTTTCATGCAGCTAGAGGTCCATTCAGCTATAATTTTTATATTTGCGTGAACGCTAAAAGTCACAACAACAGAACCGCATGGTGAGGATTTTAAACCTAAGTGTGACCGATGAAACAAATTTGTTGATTGCGCGTTGTTTTAAAGACAGTGGTGCTCTGCGTCGGCAGCTACCAATACCAGCGCACAATTTTTGTCTTAGTATGCGTACACCAGCAACCCTGCAAAAAATTGTGCGACTAATCTCTAAAGAGAGTATTCCGAGATTACCCTCAATCGGGTACAATTGGGCATTAATTAGTCGCAACTAGTCTCATACGGGTACTAATGGAGATCAATTAGTCTCGACTCATCCCTTACGGGTATAATTGGAGATCAATTAGTCCCCGACTTATCTTTAACGGGTACTATTAACGATTTATTGATATACATACGATCGTATATACGCTTAACAAACCTAAGCACCCTGGGTCGAATCGCAGCTGGGGCAAATTTTTATTTTTATTTTTTAAGAGTGACTAGTCGCTTTTTATACCCTTCATAGGATATGCTCGAACAAACGTGAACAATTCATTCCATATAAAGAGATCAAAAGTGATATTAGTCGCAACGCAAACTAATTCGCTGCTAGCATGGCCGTCGAGAGAAAACTCGGGCCCGGAACTAAAAATTCACGAGGCCCTATTTATAAATTGTATTCATTTAAAAGCATATGGCCCAAATCGCCGTAAACGAAAACGATGGGAACAATTTTTTTCTCAGGTTTCGCAGATTTTTGATTATATGTGGGTCATATATATTCCGAGGTATCAGACAATATAAATATCAACAAGAATCTTCTTCCCTCAAACATGAAAATTCACTTAATCCTGAGACACCTTTAAATTAATGAGAATTAAGAAAGCACAACATGAACTTAAGGGTTGTTTATATTTAAGGACAACTATTTTTTGCATTATGCTTGTTTCTCTTCGATTGCCTTGTACTACTTTGAAGTTAATAAAAAAGTATTCGACAAAAAAATAATCAGTGATTAACTTTCTTACTGAAAATAAAGTCGACAGCATTTTTTAATGAAATGTCCAATATATCAATAAGTTATTTGTAGCGGAATCCACCGGGCTAGAAAGTGAAAAAATCTGGTTTTCTTCGAGAATTTTCGGTTTTCTTCACAATAAAATAAAGCAGTTTCCTATACTCTTAATTATCCATGTGTGTTCGGTGCAGAACAATTGGTAACGTAAATCTTGTTTACTAATTGAATTTTCAGTTAGAATTATTTTTTATTTTTTCGTTACGAGATAGGGTTCATTTGAAAGCAACATTGTAAGCTATTCAACGTGCTATTGATATATAGTTAAAATTTATATTCTGTCTAACTCAAATAGGCTCAGAAAATAAAAATTATATAGAAAAATAAAAAAAAGCGGGAATTGTATTATTTCTTTCAAAAAGGAGCGAGGCCCAAAGAAGGAAAATAAGAAGATTTTATGATTAAATAATAAAAATCATTTGGAATTATTTTAAGTTTTTTTCTAGCACTATTATTATCCTTCAGAGTGCACGGCCACTTAAACTGCCGTGTCCTCGAACCTGACATCGCCAAACCAAGCATATGCTTTCTAACGCATTATGTCATCTTCCAAAGGACATAGTTTCTGAAGGAAAAATCGTAATCACCCGAATGCGCATTTTGAAGGGTAATAATAGTACTAAATGGCATAGAGCAAACAAAAACCTCAATATCTTGGCGTAGTTCTAATATCGATCTCGAGTTCTACGCAGAAAATTACTTCTGAAACGAGCTACACTTGCACAGCAACGGACACTTTAAAATCTGTATTCATAATTAAGTATCATGTTCTTAATTTCTTTTGATTATGTCAAATCGCAAGTGTACTGAATTCATGCTGCTTATTACATAAAACAGACTACAAGCCATTTAAAAACCGAATTATAATCTACACGTATGTATATCGCACAGGTAACGTAACAGTATTGACGTCAAAATTAATTTTATCAGTTCAATAAGTACGTAGTTCTTGATTTATATAAGGAGAGCATATAGTAAATATTGCTACATACTTTTGATTTCATATGCAAGAAGAAAAACTATCCCAAAGTTATATTCTAGCGAGTTTGAGCGGTATTTGAAAAGCACTGTGAGCCAAAACGTATTGTAACTGTACGCGTTTTGGGCCATATGATCGTTTTCCTTTAATTTATAGACTCAGAAATGATTTCCAGCTACTTTTTAAATTGGTAAATTTTTGAGAATGTCTGCATTTTTCCCTGTAGAATGCCTAGATCAAAAAGAATAAAACTTTATAGTTACCACAAAATAAACATATTTTTAAATAGTGGTAAGCAGATAGGTATACAAGTAGTTACAAACGATTAGGTTTTAAAATAGTTGGAAGCGAAGAGAAACGAACAAAGAATGCCTTACAGAAAAACTAATGTAGAATGCCTAGAGAAAAAACAATAAAATGTTATAGTTAGCACAATATATACATATTTTTAAATAGTGGTAAACAGACAGGTATACAAGTAATTAGAAAGGAATAGGTTTTAAAATAGTTGAAAGCAGACAGGTATGAAAATAGTTAGAAACAAACAAAATTTAAAAGAGTTGGAAACAAATTGATTTTAAAATAGTTAGAAACAAATAGAATTTAAAATAGTTGGAAATATACTAATTTTATTCCAGCTGCAAAGAACTCATTTTAATGTCCTATCAGCCAAATATATTTTAATGTAGTTGAAATCAAATGCCGAATCGGATGATTGACTTGCTCCTAGGGCATCGCCATGTTAATAAAGTTAGTTGCTTATATGAAAAAAGGAAGAATTCCAACCACTTGTAGTTCGTTAAAAAGTACTTTTTAAATTGCTTTTAAAGTAGTTGCTTCTCTGGATTCTGTTTATCCATGCGTTCTCCCTTCGTTCGAAGGTAATGCTGCGGGTAAGGGCTTACGGCCAATGACATGCCCATATTAAAATAATGCCTTCTTGAAGCGAAAGGGCAAGCGATTCCTATCGCCTAGCTCGTTTCCACTTTCGTTGCTATGGTAATCGTGTTTTTTGCTGGGATTCTGCTGTACGCACGGCTGTAAATTCTGCATTCGAAATGATAATTAAAAAAAGTAACTGAAGAACTGAACGGTCGCACGCTGCATTTGTTTCAAAGCAGTTGAATTCCAACTACTTTTTAGATTGGTACATTTTTGAGACTGTCTGCATTTTTCCGACAGGGTTAAGACTAAATTTAAGTAAATTGCTTTTAATATGGCCTTTTTTTAGAAAATTTAAACTCGGTCTGTTTTGATATTTTTGTTGAGTAATATTTTTAAATATTGGTATTTTTGTTTGCTTGTCAAGGTTTGTCAAAGTTCGGTTCTTTGGAAATATAGGTAACTACAGTCAGTGTGCAAACACCTACCACGTATTTTTTAAAATTTGCGTGTCTACCACATCTACCACACAAGCCTTAAAATCTACCATATTTTTAGACAGAAGATTTGTTTACAATTTTCACATAACTCTAAAATTTCAACTAAATTCTTATACGAAATATAAAAATTAATCAATAAATTTTTAAAAAGGTACATCATAAATTTTGCTTTAAGTTGCTTTAAGTATATCTGTGCCTTAACTTTTTAATAATTCAAAAATCCGCATATTTATATTTGCTAAAGTATTATGCAATGGAAAAATAATTTGGTGGATTTTTTTTGCATAAATAAATCTGTAGGATATTTTTCAAATTAATGAAAATATTTTTTTCTTCATGATTATATTCTCTAACTAGAAAACTATTTAATGTTATACTTGTTTTTGTATCAATTGCGTTGAATCTGTACGATCCACTCCTAACAGCGCACACGCTTATTTCTATGGGCATGCATATACATACATACTACATATCGTCGTTTAAAGTACAAAACCGCGTATCAACAAAATGCTAAACCGCGTATCAAGATAATGCAAAACCACGTATGTGAGATTGCATAAATTATTTTTAAGAGAGTAAAAGCACTCATATTTCAAAATGGTTATCTTTTTTATAAAGCAATCGCATTTTTGGCTAGTATATTTAAGGACGAATGGATAAGGATTGAGCCAACTCAGCCAAGAGCTTGTGTGAGCCAATTCAATTTTTGGCAGAAAATGTCAGTTACGCGGTTTTGCATAATGGCGATACGCGGTTTTGTACTCTAAACGATAATATGCATATTAACAGGAACGCAGCACAGCAGAAGCATACGAAAAAACTGCAAATAAATGGTTTTTTAGGTTTTAAACTAACAAAAACCTGGTTTCAATTTACTTCAACGTGTCTAAAGTATAACGCGCACGAAGGCGCAACAGGAACGCAACACTATAAAACACGGGCGGAGACATACACAGGCGGAGCAGGAAAGCAGCACAGCAGAATCGTTCACAAAATCTGCGAATAAATGGTTCATTAGGATTTGAAATAAAAAAGAGCTGGTTCCAACTTACTTAAAAATATCTGCAGGATGATTCACACAATCAAATTTGGCCGCAGCTGCAGTTCACCAGAGAATGCTGAAAAAGGGATGGTTCATCAATAAAGTCAAAATAATATGTTGTAACTTACGTGTATTAGCTCTTAAAAACAAAAAAACACTAAGGAAATGACCTAATAAATGCAAAATTATAATTTATTTGTGAAATAATTCGGTTTTATTACAATACTTACCAAATTAAAGGCAATTACAAAACAAATGTCAGTGAATAAGAACAAAACGAACAACGAATCAATATAGCTTGTTTAGAATTTTTTCTATTGTTTTGGGAAATGTTCAGTGAAATTAGCAAAGAAACAACACAGTTTCTCCGAAGGTAGTTCAAGATGGAGGATTAGAGCGAGAAGTTGCCAACGTATAACACATCGTATAGGCTTACAAGTATGGAAAGCGCCATTTTGTTTGTTTACATTTGAAAACAGCTGAGATCACCTGATTTTCAATTCTCTCATTCTCCGCACAGAGTTACATTCAAGTTTCAGAAAAAACTTTAAAATGTAAATTGAGAAATATTTTAGAAAAATGTGTTTTTATTTATTTGAATTCAATAAAAAAGAAATTAAAAATGCGTGCCAAGTCTTGCATTTCCAATAATAACGATAAATGTGTATGTTCCAGGCAATAATTTAAAATATTTGTGAAACTTATCGTTTTGCGCTAAAATACATCAATGTGTGTGAAATTCGTTGTCATTGCTTTTGTTTTGAACATCATATTCGTGCCTGCCGGTGGAAAAATTAGGTCAATTTGCATTTATTTTTAAGAAAACATATAATTTAATATATATTTCTTTCCAGAGCGACATACGGACAAGTAAGATGATCATGGTTTAAACAAATGGTTTATTTTCTTGTACAAGCAGCCGTGGCCCGAGCAGCGCAAATCGTGGCAGAGAATTATAAGTAATAAGGGAAATAATAGTGCGATAAGAAACTGGAGCTCGGGGAAACTATAATTTACGTCTCTACGCAGCACGTACGCATGTGTGCGATTGTGGCCTAAGCAGCGGCCCGAAAAACCTTACCAAACCTTTTTTTATTTTACGCTTACATCAACGTTATGCCACAATCACTGGCAGAGGCCCACAGGCACTCGTAAAAATTGGCCACTATTTACTGGACGCAACACAAGGTAGCAGTAAAGATATTGGACTTCATGCATTAAATGTGAATTTAAGCTCCAACTCGATTTTCAGTACAAATTCTTGAGCTTAAGCTCACCCCTTTAGTGCAAAAATTGAGTCTGACCTTAGACTAATTTTTTATGCATGAGGCCCATTAAATCGCATAAATTGGTTGAAATGGTTGGAAGTGGACCAACAACTTGCTGCCTTCTCGTCAATTTGGTTACGTTGTGTTGACTAACTCCGGAGGCATTATGGATCTTGAGGAGGCCAGACGGTAACATTTGGGAGGCAAAATGCTAGGATTCTTGTTCTAAGCTGGGCACTGGGTATTCACACTTTTGTTAGTGTATTGAAGCTATTGCAGCTGGCAAGAGCAACATGTTTATATTATTTTTTACAAAAATAAAAAGATGAAAGCCATTTAAAGTAATGAGTAAATTTGCGTGGAAGAAAATAAAGAATAAAGAAATTTGTATGATCATTTGCATCAAAATTTCTATTCAAATTTTTATTTGAATTATGGCATCAACAGGGATGCTTTGAAACGTATCTTTTGAAGAGAAATTTTTATAATTCTTGTGATTATTGATATTTTCTAGAATTAAAAAAGCTAGTTCATATTAAAAAATATATTTAGAGCATGATAAAAATATAGTAAGGTAGAACCGCTGAGAGCCACTTTTAAAATTCTTGACGTTTCCAAACAATTTAATTTTTAAATTTACTCACAAACTCACACACACATTTTCATTTTCAATCTCAAGCAACAACAATTTCGAACAATTTCATTTTTTTATTTTCACATTTATATGATTTTAAAATGTTTTCAAACTTCAAAAAAAAATCATGGCCGACAAATTGAGAGAACGGTTATACCTTGCTATGTTTTTATCATGATTTAGACTACAAGTATGTAATGTGAAACGATTTTAATGAGTATTCATAGCTTCATAGCAGTTACATCAAAATGCATATTTGACAAGAAAGAGTACAAGATTGCCCCGTCATAGTGGCGATGACATTTCTGTACAAAAAGTAAACAAAGCCGAATTGCATGTTAAAAGAAAATATCAGACCAGCCAATTTTCTCAATAATAAATTTTTCGATAGTAAGCGTGTTTTAATTGCGCTGAATTCTAAAAATATATGAGTTACAATGACAATTAATAAGGAAAATGTGAAAAAGCGGTGATTTTTCTGGAAGTATAAGTGAATTTCAGTACATTTAAAGTTTCTGATACGTCGTTTACTTTTAGATCAGAATTATCAAAATCGACAAATTCAAAGTAGGGGTATGTCTGACGGTGCCACCTTTGTTCGCTGCATCGTGCATATTGGGCAAATGACGTTTTTAAATGAATTTTACATACAAACATATGTACCAGTTCAAGATGAAAAAAGAAACCAAAATTAGTAATTTTTTTATGAATGTAGTTAAAAAAAGTTCACAGAGGAAATGCCGGTAATCAATCTATCGGCAATCACATAAAATCTATGTAGGGAAATTTAGATGTCTTACCTTCCATTGCCGTTCGCATCGTCGAACGTGCCTGTCAAACACTGCCGCCATCATGCTTTTCAGTTTGGCAGGCACGTCCGCTGTTTGGCAGGCACGTCCGTTGTTAGAAAGAGAATAGACAAAAAGGGGCATAGGATTCCATACTTGTAAGTATATACGATGGTATAACACCTTTCATTATTTCATCATGAGGCATAACAAGGTTGAAATGATTTCGACATTTCTCTCTTTTGAACTGCGACTGAAATGTCAACTCTTAACCCTATACTAGGAATCCTCGATATCGTATCATGGCACGATAATCTATTTTTTGAATCGACATTCCAAAGTCGATATATCGAAGACATCGATACTTTACCCGCAATATCGATATTTAAGTTGAAATTTATTTTTCATCTACAAAAAAGTGTAGCAGCTTGTGTGATTTATTTAGTTCTTAAGTTTTAATCCTCAGTAAATATACAAATTGGAAATAACACAATTAGGTGAAATGAGGCAGGTTTAATATTCTATTCAATTGGGAGCAGGATTTTCAACATCGATTTTTTCAATATCGATATTGTTCAGCCCGATATATCGGCATATCGATTTTACATGCAATGAATCAAATCGATTCATGATATCGATACTTTCTTAAATATCGAACATTCCTACCCTATACCAAGATAAAAACATAGTAAGGTAAAACCGTTCTCTCAATGCGTCGGCCATGACTTTTTTTT